ACTGCATACACTACAGGCAGTACTGAGTAGGCCGACTGCATACACTACAGGCAGTACTGAGTAGGCCGACTGCATACACTACAGGCAGTACTGAGTAGGCCGACTGCATACACTACAGGCAGTACTGAGTAGGCCGACTGCATACACTCAGGGTACGCTTTTCATCATAAATGAATTTAATGTCTAATCATTGTCACTCATGCACTGTACTGTCAATTAATTTTTGTACACTTTTTTTTTTTTAAAATTCACATTGAATTACTTGACTTCTTATAAATAAAATTGCCCCGGCGTTCAACAATCGTTATTCTGGAGATGGCATGGATTCATGGATAAACCATTCTGTCAGCCTACTTACTTTGGAGGACACACTCACAAGGGTCACAAGGGTCAAGCGGCCTAATACAAAAATTAAATTAATTACATAGCGGTACTAAAAGTAAAAGTAATATTGACAAGGCCAGTGGTTCTCAACCTTCCTAATGCCGTGACCCTTTAAACAGTGCTCCTCATGTTGTGGCGACCCCCAGCCACAAATTATTTTCCCTTTTAATTCATGACTTTAGAGCATATGTGTTTTAATTGGCCTTGGGCGACCCCTGGAAAAGGGTCGTGCGACCCACAAAAAGGGTCGCGACCCACAGGTTGAGAACCGCTGGATTAGGCCTACCGATTTCTTTTTATTTCTCAAGTTGACTACTTGGAGTTGTATCAGTGTGAGCGTGACCTAGGGCGCCTAGGCCTTGTAGGCATGCTTTGAAATTAACTGGACAAACTATGCAGTATGCAGTTGTCAGCAGTAGTAGGCCTACTCCTCCAAATCTTGGCATTTTAAAAATCGATTTTTTAAAATAATTTATTTTTGGTAAATAAAAAATAATTTCAATCTTCTGATCACTAAAATTAAGTGCATGGAATTAAAAGATTAAAAAAAAAATATATTTTATTAAAAAGACGTTATTAAGGAAGATTTAAATTATTATAGTCTTTGGATAAAAATAAGCCAATAAGTCTAATAATTAATAAGTGACTACCTACTAAAAGTTGAATAAGTGAGAATATATAGCCTATAGGTAATTGATATTGCAATAAATTACAAGAATAACATATTTTAGATTAACTTTCCTGCTTTTTGCTTGAAATTTGCTTGTTTTGGGACTATATTCGGTTTTATCAGGGGAGTGGTTGGGGGGGGGGGGGTAAGTTTGCATGCTAGAAATAAAAAATTGGTGAGGGGAGTTGTTAATACATTTGAAAATGTCATATTTTTATGTTATGTAATATGTTCATGGTCCTTTAGTTTCAATCATCAAAACTTTCTGCAGAACCCATTTCAAATAATTTTTGTCTCCTACGATCAAATTCTTATTTACAACAAATGTAAAAACAACAGTGGGCCGGCCGATTCAATGATTAAAAATGTAATCAATTATAAGAGTCAAAGTGAAACAACATATACAAGTAAAATTTTAAAAAGTACATTGTATATTTTTAAGATATTAAAGAGCTCAAATTAAAACCTGAGTATTTTAACTGAAATGTTTTATTTCTCAACAGCACCAACTTTACATAAACCAGGTGATTAGATTTCATGCAAATAATATATATATTATATTATATTATATTATATTATATTATATTATATTATATTATATTATATTATAATTTATTTTTTTTTTTTTTTTCTTTCTGCATGGCACACGTTTACAATTCAGTCACTGGCTGTAAAAATAGTGTAATTTATATAACTATACAATTAATCTCTAAATTAAATAATTATCTGAATGATATCCAGTATAAATTCAAATATCCAGAGATCTGAAACATTCAGTTATATATATATATTATATCTGGTTGTATGGATTTGAAATCAAACAATTCACAATCAACCCTCCTGAGGCGAAGCCTTTTTGGACTCTCAGTGCTAAGAAGACGGAGCCATTTTGACATGCCCTGCACTTACTTTACAAAACAGACTTTATAATAAAAAAATGAACTAATTGCTTTATAAAAATGTAACTAGATTATATTCTTGTAGGGAACTGAAAGCACTAATATGATCTGTATGAATCAAACTGAAATCTCAAAATTGATGCAAAAGAGATACCCTGATTAGCATAACTTATGCATAGGCCTACTATTTTATTTTTATTTTTACACTTATGATAAACATATCTTGCTTGCAGAATTTTGATAAATTGTATTACATGATTATTGAAGCCAAAATAAGAAGTCCTAACAAACATTTGAAAGAGATTCAATGTGAAAACTGTGAAAAAATAGTCTCCTTGTGCTGCCAATGTCTTTTGGCATATTTCAAGGTCAAATATGTTTTAAAACATTTATAGGGGTCACAAGGTACAAGATAAGTGATGTAACATGACAGAACACAGAAAAATGTCAATGGAAGCCTACATTAAAATGGTGACATGAGCAAGAAATGTGAGAAGTAATCTGATTAGCTGTTAGCTTTTTCACAATTCGACTCTGGGCTGATAGATCAGCCCAGCAGTCTCAAGAGGGTTAACATCCACAAAGCAAAAGATGCATCATTATGATGGCGTCATAAGTCCTATAAAACATAAGCCATAGCCTTACAGGTCCTATCAAACATAAGCAATGCCATTATGGGTCCAATCAAACATAAGCCATGGTGTTATGAGTCCTTTCAATCCAATAGCCATATTATTAAGATTCGTTTCAACCATAAGAAAACATAGGAGCCATTGATCTGGGCCCTCAGAATATAGAAGAAATAGAAGAAATAAGCCTATGACAATTTAAAAAAAAAAAACACATGTAAAGTTTGTAATTAGGCTAATTGCATGTCATTAAGAATTTTTTGATTTTTTATTATATTCATGACACCTGTCCTCAATCCATCGGGGAAAATCACATTTCCACTATACAAGACAACTCATTATGATTCACAACTTAAATACTGAAAGTGATATCAGTCCATTTGTTGGCAGGCATGAAGGCAGAAGTATCTCTAAACTGGAAGCGCTGCTGGAAGCGAACAGGAATTTTGAGCATTTTAATTCTTTCTGCCCTCTCAGGTTCATGGCCCAAGGCTGTTGAAACAGACACAAAGCATAAAGTTTGAAGCCTGCAAGGCTGGGAAAACACTGTGTCCAAAGTGTCTAAACATTCTGTAAGTCTTCTATCCACCAGGCACTGTCTGAGGGCATCGTGATGTGGCCCTTGGAAAAGATCAAACCAGGTCAGGAACCAGTTCTCGAGTAAGAATCTGGCGATGTCCGAATGCCCTGCAAACAACGCTACAAAAAGTGGGGAAAGCTCAAATTTGAAAAGGATACTTTGAGAACCTACTAGAGGCAGGAAGGGATGCGAGTCAGACATTTCACTGTAAGGAAACAGGTGGGACAAATTTTGAAGAGTGGGTGATGCCCCATATTGCATCATGAGTTGAGTGAGTGGACCGAAGCCTTGAAGTATTGCATAGTGGACCTCAGATTTTATTTCAGCATCTTTCCAAAGTAGCAGCTGGACAACGTCTTCCTTATTTCTTTTCACCGCATGGAGCAAGGCTGTAGCTCCATCATTGTTCGTGGCATTGACCTCTGCCCCAGTTTTCACCAAACAGTCCACGACCGCTAAGCCTGCAAACCTAGCAGCTAGAATCAGAGCCGTGTCTCCACTGTTTGCTCTTAATTTTACATCGGCGCCGCATCCTACAAGTGCCTCGACAACTTGAAAGCTGTCGGATGAGCAGGCGTACATGAGAGCTGTGTGGCCACTAGAATTCACATTATTGATTAGCAGATCCTTGTCACTTTTGGAACATAGTAAAAACAAAGTCGTGTCAGGAAGACAGAAGCGGCAGACATGCATCAGAAGTGTATTCAGCCCACCTCCCGTGTGGATGACGTCAACCCTCGCTCCAGCTCCCAGTAGAAATTTGACTGCTTTATTCCTGTTGAACCTGGCCGCGCTCATCAGTGCTGTCTCCCCATCAATTGTCAGAATCTCCATGTCAGCCTTCCTCTCAGTCAAATCAACAACACTATCCAAGCTGCCCCAGGTGGAAGCAATGAGGAGGGCAGTGTGGCCCGAACAGTTGGTCAGGTTGACATTGGCACCATGTTCTAACAACACCTTGACCACATCAGAACTTCCTCTGGCAGCACAGATTAATGGTGTGTTCCCGTCATGTTTCTTTAAATTCACGTCAGCTCCCGACCGAACCAGTAATTTCACCATCTCCAGACGGCTACGCTCTGCAGCCAGGTGCAGGGCAGTCTCCCCACGTTCATTTGTGCGGTTGATGTTGGCACCGGCGCTGAGCATACATTTCACTGTGCCGACCTGGCAAAACTGACTGGCAAACATAATGGCAGTGTCACCATATTTATTTGGTGCATGGACGTCTGCCTTATATCTTAGGAGTGCCTGGACGAGGTCATCTTTGCCAGCATCGGCAGCCCGAATCAGGCAATTACAGCGGTATCTGAAATGTTAAACAGTTTGATGATTAATAGGGCATTTTCTGTCATGTGTGGACACTGTCCTTGTCAGATGTACATAATTGCACTCTCTGGTGTACACCATGACATTGTACACTTGTTTCGTTTTGTCTTTTTCAGGTTTTCTTTTGCTTTGTGGCACTTATTTCCTAACCTGATTGCAGTCCCACTGATTTAGACAGTTGTACTGTCTGGTCTAGACCATTGTACTGTCTGGTCTAGACAACTATACTGTCTGGTCCAGACAATTCTACTGTGTGGTCTAGACAATTGCACTGTCTGGTCTAGACAACTGTACTCTCTGGTCTAGCCATTGTACTGTCTGGTCAAGACAATTGTAATGTCTGGTCTAGACAACTGTACTGTCTGGTCCAGACAAATGTACTGTGTGGGCCAGACAAGTGCACTGTCTGGCATACATTATGACACAATTATACTTTCTGGTTCAGGGTGTGAGATTTCACTTTGCGCCTTGAGCACTGTACTGTGAAGCTGTTTGCATTAAAATTAAAATAAATCTAAACCTTAACTTACGCTAGCCATTTCCTAAAAACTACCCAATGAACAAATGTCTAAAAGAAAATTGTAGCATGATTAGGTCATTAGGGGCATTAGAATAAAAATAAATAGTTTGATAAAACGGGTTGGGTGGTTTTTGTGTTAGAAAAATTATTTAAAACTGGTTAACTTTAAAATTGTCCCATTACAATAGAATGTTTTCACTATCTCTGTATGCATTACATAGGCTGAAGATGAGCTTGTTCAATGTAATGAAAACAAATTCTCATTTGTTATTTTTCAACTTTTGGAAAACTATGTTAAGAGGGATGCAGACACATTGCTGGCCATGTCAAAAAGATATTTCTAGAAGCTTTTTGAAGTTTCCACTTTAATCATTAAAATTTGATCCCTCCCACACTCAAAATGGATATTAAAATCATTAATCATTTCTAGAGCAGTCCTAAATTATTAAGTTTCACCTTAAAACCAATTAAAAATTTGACCAATCAAATTAAGTTACCGTATTTTCCGGCGTATAAGACAGCTGGGCGTATAAGACGACCCCCTACTTTTCCTTTTAAAATCTAGGGTTTGTGTTGTACACCAGCTCATAAGACGACCCCCGGCGTATAAGACGACCCCCGGCGTATAAGACGACCCCCGGCGTATAAGACGACCCCCCACTTTTGAAAAGATTTTCATGGGTTAAAAAGTCATCTTATACGCCGGAAAATACGGTAAGTATATCTATGTTCATTTAGCAAATAAGAAACAATGTCTAGAATGATACCAGTTCCTCTTATCGTTAAAAAAAAAACTAACTTTATTTGAATTATTATTATTTTTATTTTTAAAAATCCTTGTCACAGTTTTGATTAGGGAAAAGTTATGCAGCATTTTTAGAATTCAAATTGTCATTTACCTATCATGAGAATTTGGATCTCCACCTGCTTCTAGCAAGATTTTGAGAAGTTTAACATCTCCTGTATTGACAGAGTAAGACACGGCTGTCAAGCCACAGCTATCTGTCACATTAACAGCAGCACCTGCATGGAAAAACAACAATATATGCCTATTATAATTAATATCATTTGGAAATGTGTAATTTTTGTTTGAAGAAGGTAGAAGGAAATTTTTTTAATTGATGATAAATTACATTATTACGTGTGATTTATCCCAAAGAAAAAGCCTTCCCAGTTTTGATGGAACGGTCATCAAATATTATCAAACTTTGAGTTGACCAATAAATTTGAACCATGTTATTTTTATTTTGGATTTTAGCCCTTTTAGTATTAGTACGGTGATTGACTAGTACTAGTGTAGTAGGGTGAGTGAGTAGTACTAGTGTAACAGGGAGAGTGAGTAGAACTAGTGTAGTAGGGTGAGTGTGTAGTGCTCTTCTTCTAGAGGGTGATGAGTAGTACTAGTGTAGTAGGGAGAGTGAGTAGAACTAGTGTAGTAGGGTGGGTGAGTGTGTAGTATTCTTGTAGTGGGGTGAGTGAGTAGTACTCTTGTAGTAGGGTGAGTGAGTAGTAATAGTGCAGTAGGGTGTGTAGTACCGGTACTCTTGTATGGTGAGTGAGAAGTACACTTACATAAAAAAGTTGATGTCGGGTGAGTGAGTAGTACTCTTATAGTAGAGTGAGTATTACTCTTGTAGAAGGGTGAGTGAGTAGTACTAGTGTAGGAGGGTGAGCGAGTAGTACTAGTGTAGTAGGGTGAGTGAGTAGTACTCTTATAGTATGGTGAGTGAGTAGTACTCTTGTAGTAGGTTGAGTGAGTAGTTATAGTGCAGTAGGGTGAGTAGTACTCTTGTATGGTGAGTGAGTAGAACACTTGCATAAAAAAAGTTGTAGTCGGGTGAGTGAGTAGTACTACTGTAGTAGGAAGACAAACTCAACCAAAAAATTTTTGAAATTATGTTATAAAATAAACTTTTTATCTCTCAGAACCCACCTGCTTTAAGCAACATGGCTACAGCTTCAATGTGTCTTTGTTTTACAGCTTCAATTAACGGTGTTTTCTTCTTAACGTCTGCAATGTTAGGGTCTGCCCCGTTTTTGAGCAAGATATCAACTGTCCAGGGGTTGCCAATCCAGGCAGCCAATTTGAGAGGGGTCTCATTTTGATCATTGCAAACATTAACATTCGCCCCATGACTTATCAGAATGTTCACTGTAGTTTCACAATCTGAAAGGCACACATAGCTACAATTCAATGTAGTCAAAAGAAAGTTGTGTCAAATATAATCGTCTAGATTTGAGTCTATATATATATATATATATATAATATATATATATATATATATATTATATATATATATATGTACATGGTCTTGTTCACATTGTTAATAACAAACATTAACTTAAAAAATGGAAAGAAATCAAACCTACCAAATAATTTATTAATAAGTTTGTCACGATATTCTTAGATTTTCAACCTTTTTTTTCTTATTTTTGTGACCTAGTAATTTTGCTTTCAATGCTTTATAGCCTGGAACCAGGAAGCAAACCGGCATATGGAAAATGCTGTGCTAGAATTTACAGTCAGTTAAAATCTTTTCATGACTATAAACAATTCCATTTGCTATGCTGTTGACAGATTTCTTAGAAAGTTGATATGACAAATATTAAAATATAAATCGTCTTTTGCTCCGCAGATACCCAACATACATGATGTGGCTTTTCAGACTTTGAGTAATTGTTTTGATAGTTAGTGCTAGTGATAGCCAGTGGGATCCCTTGACAAAATGACGCCTGGTGCAAATTACAAAAGATGCCCCCCCCCCGCACGCACACGCACACACATACTCCATTATTTAATGCAGAGCATACCTTGACTAATGCTGCCTGGGCAAACTTTGAAAAGTGCAATCTCCTAACACACACATACACTCAAACTAAATAATTTTACATATTTACTCCAACAATTGCCACCTTCACACATGGATAAAACATTAACAATTTTGTCAGCGGGGTCAGCCATCCGCCTTCTCCCCATAGATACGCATCTACAAGAAAAGCATGTCGGTTTCAATACTTAAAATTATGGCAAGCCTAATTATATTGATAATTTATTTCAGATAAAATAGAAGGATTGTTAAGTAATGGTAAATTTGATTACTACCTATGGGGACTAAAATCATAATTATATCCAAATGTGTTTTTGACAGCTATATTGGATCCTTCTATAAAAGGCTTCAGGCATCTAGGGGAGAGGGGGGGGTCACATATTTGTGATGAGAAGGGAGGGGGTTAAAGCAATCTGACGTGGCATAAAAAAAAATGAAACTTAATTTAAACAGCTTCCACTTACTTTTCAGTCATTTTCCATGAATTATTTAAAGATCAATTTTGATTATCAATGAATATTTATTCATAAATTGACTTTTAAAAAAAAAATATATATTCTGGGGCATAAGTGAGGTGGACAGCTAATGAACTTATCAGAGCAAATTTTGTATAATTTTCTCCAGGAACATGGATTTTATTATAGAAAACTATGAAGGAAAAAGTAATTAACGGAAGGCAGTATAAAGCAGTACAATGCACGTAAGGCTGGCCTTAGCATCTCATCTGACACTCCTAAAAGTTCCACACAACAATGTCAGATTGTCAAAATGTATAAAATTATAGTAGTAATTGAAATCTATCTTTAGAACGGTCACAGTTTTGTATCAACTTCTGACCTATATGTATCACCAGTATAAATGTACTGATTATCTGCACTTGCGCAAAACTTGTTTGATGATATTTATTAGCAGAATAAACACCTGTGTACGACAAGGGGATAACGCATTTCTTTCCAAGTGGCAGTCATTTATTTTCGGAAATGTTCAGATTGGTTTCAATATAAACAGTAGAAGCCAGTATCTGTGTTATACCATGCATAACTGTATGTATATTAGTTGTTTTTTTTTAAATTTAATCTCATACAATAACTATAAAAATTAAAGTTTTTATTTTGAAAAAAAATTTTTTCTTAAGTAATGTCTACTGCCTTATTATTTTATGGGTTGAGCTTAAGAGAGGGTTACACACTTTTCCAGTGTTTCTGGCCAAACCTAAGGGTATCAACTTTATGAACAAATGGGCTTATGAAATGAGAAGATGTGGTAAATGTTAATGTTTGATGGTCTTTTTATTAATACTTTTAAAATTTATAAAGGATGATCACAGTCATTCTAACTGATCTGTAATATGGAGAACTGGTACACTGGTGTGCCAGGTCCAAAATGGGTTTTGAATGCCTGTCACGTTGAACAAGTTACAGGAAGGCTGTAGCGCCATTATATTTCTTTTTCATTGACATGCAATAAATTTCAACTTACTTTCTTTGACAGCAATCATCAACGGTGTGTTCCCTTCTTCATTTTTTGAATCTGGGTCAATTCCCTTTTCAAGCAGATAATTCAAATTTTCAAAATTGGAAGTGATGAAAGCCTTAGTAAGTTTATAGAATGGTGAATCAGTTCCTGAATCTGAAACAATGGTAGCTTTATATATAATTTTATAATTTTTTTTAAAACTAAGCCTTACCTTTAATAATTTATAAAATATTTCAATAATATTCATATAAAAAATTTAGTAAGAAAATATATTTTATAAAACTTTTTTTAAAAAAATCATTGTCTCTGTCATAGCATACAATAAGAAATTGTAGATAATTGACAAAGATGAATACCGGTACAATATCTAAATCAAAGTAGCAAAGTATGATGCAGCAGTTGTTGACAGGTTTGATATCTTACCTATAAATATCCCACCAGTTGGACAGCATATTAAGCTTCCATGCCTCCAGTATTGAGGGTCTGCCATTGTCAAATATGACTGGAGTTTTTTTCTTTAACTTTCATCTATGTCTTAAGCCATGGCTACATTTTATATGAAGGGTACTTATTTGCCTCCTTCATTATGAAGCCTGAAATATTTGAAAAGATGTGATAAGCCAGCTTATATCTTCAAGTATTCAATTGAAAAGAATACAATTTTTGGGTCTTCAGCTAATCCACTACAGTAAAAGTGTCTAGAGTTTAGACCAGCCATTCTCAATGTCCCCCCTCCACCCTTTTCCCAGGGGTCCAAAGGGATTTTCTTGAGATTGGGAGCCACAAAATCTTTCAAAAAAGGACTTTTAGACTAGGGTGACCAAATCATGAACTGGAAAAAACGGGACACACCCAAAGTGAGTTGGACTTGGGAGGGGGGGGGTAGGGGAGGGGGTAGGGTACCCTCCAACTAAAGAGGGGTCCGGGGGCCTCCACCGGAAACTGTTTATTGAAATATGCTCATTTTAACTATTTGGAGAACTGGAAACATTTTGTAAATTTACCTTTACTTTTTTAATTTAATTTAAACTCTGAGGCATATTATAAACGAAAACAATAATTTTGCAGTAAATACTAATTTATTTATACATATTTTACAACATCATACAACACAACAAATTAAATTTCTCTAGTCTAGGATTTACATTGAGGCTATTAGGCTGTTTATCCCAGCCATTGTTAAAATCTCTTTCTTATCTGATATGTGAAAATGTGTTTGGTTTTATAAATGGAACATTTAGGCATCCCGAGAGACTTTTTCGGGACACCGGGTACTATTGTTAAAAAACAGGACAATCCCGTTTTTAAGGGACATTTCGTCACCCTATTTTGGACCCTACCCATCTTTTTCCGTATTTTTATAATGGGAAATTCAAAAATGCTTGAATCTGTATTTGTATAATATGATAATGATTGGTTACTTCTGGTTATAATAGTATTACTATAGACTATATTATAGTACAAAACAGAACTTTTCAATTAAAAATGGATCATAAATCAGCTGTCAAACTCAAATTTGTTGGTACCCAAAGAAAGCTTAACAATTTTATGATTTTCTTATACCAAGTTCGGCAAGATGCCATGGAGAAATAACTAGCTATTTTATATAATTGTTTCTGTATTTTTAGAATCAGAAATTCAAAACCCACTAAAACTAATATGAAACATGAATGGGTCATATTGATATCACAGTTATTAAATTCTAAATTGAAATCTCAGAAACAAAAAGTAATGAAAGTAATGTAAATTGTATATATTTTCCTCACAAAAACATACCCCAAAGCTTTTTGACTGATAAAGAATTGGTGCTGGTTACATTTAAAAAATCTACATTGATATTATAAATATAAATGCTAAAAAAACCAAGGTATTATTGTAAAACCCCTCATTATTATATCTAAAATGGAATGATAAGGTCATATTTTCAACAAGATAGAGGCGGCATTGTTATTTCTAGTTCCACCGGCCCTAGGAAACTTGTCAATAGGCTAGGACTAGCTAAAATGTTAGAAAGAGCCGATTAATTATTAATATTAATAAGTATAAGGCTTTGTTGCCCAGTGTGTGCCTAGGCCTAGGACTAAAAAAAAAAAATATTATTACTCATAGGCCCTACTCATACTAATAGTTTAATAATAGGACAAATAAAATAAGCTTAGTGCCTTAGGCTTAGGCCCAAAACTTAATACTCATAGTCATATAGTCGCCAATCATTATATATCAGCGGCCAATCATTATATATCAGCGGCCAATCATTATATATCAGCGGCCAATCATTACAGATTGTATTAACGAATGCAAAAATTAATAATAAATTTGTATTAGTATTAGCCAATCTCCATGGTCCATATTAATATTGCGCATTGTTGGCCTAAAATTTAATTATTTAAAATATCAACAAAGTCCAAAGTTATGTAGGTATTTCAAGCCTTGGCCTACTTAGCCTTATCTAACTTAGTCTATATAATTATACTATATGACTATAGGCCCTATATATAATTTATAATGTATATTATTATTATATAGACTATAGATATTAAGTATAGTTAAAGTTAAGGCTAAGGCTTAACTTAAGTTAAGCAGAAATTTACTTACTAATAATCAGTCAATCAGATAATTCGGTCTGTTACTAATGTTACTACTCACAGTCACATGTCATAGACAGTATAAGTATAGTCACTTCTTCCTCACTCAGATTTCAAAATACTTCAAACTTCAAATTCAAATACTTTACTTTTATGGCTATGGCCTCTCTGTGAAATATAAAAAAAATAGTAAATAAAAATAGTATTAGCAATAGTATTATTATATTCTTTAAATAGGCTCATATAATAGACCTAAGCCTAAGTCTTATTCTTATTAATATTTATTAAGTCTAAGTCAAAGTCTTAGTCATTGATGTCATAAGTTTAGAGTTTAGATTATTATTAAGTAAGATATGCTGAATGAGCTGGGTTCCTTAACGGATTAACTTAAGACTTATTAACGTTTGAGTTTGTGCACTTTGGCATTTGCAAATATCTTTTAATATTGAAGTTATTGACAATAATATTAATTAATAATTATCAACGAGTTCAATCAATGACTCAATATTGACGATTGCTCATTAGCTGCGAGCATGAACCAATCGTCCAAACATTTTAAAAATTGAATGTAATGAATGATTATATTATTAATTATAATTATATTAATTGATATTACTGAATCGCCAAGAATAATGTCCAAGTCCAAGCCCAATGCCCAAGCCCAATGTTCCGGTACAAGTACAGTAGTAAACTCGTCAAGAAATTTATTATTGACAATGGCATTGATTTGTTGTCCTTAGCCTTAGCCGTGTACTGTACTTCACTGTTAATGATAATGTTACTGTTGTTAGCAGTTAGCATGGCTTAGTCTTATTTAACTAGTAGTACTAGTACTTTACTAGTCTTACTTAAACTTACTTAATTTAAGTTAGTTAAAGTTAATGGCTTATCTTTCATAATTAAAATTAATTCTATGCACTCGGAAAAAAATATGTGAAAACATTCTTAAACGTTATGATATGCAATTACTCACAAAATCCCCGACCGAGGACACAAATTAGCCCTGTTCTTTTTATGTCACTAGTTTGTAAGACGTAATACTTCATCGATAGTACGTCCAATGCTAATAACCAAATTGCAAAAATAACTCTTTTGTTTTTGCAAAGTAATATGTGGCCCCGTGGCCTAATGGATAAGGCGTCTGACTTCGGATCAGAAGATTGCGAGTTCGAGTCTCGTCGGGGTCGAAATTTTTTTTCTTTTTAAATTTCTGTTGACAGTATACATTTTAATTCTAAAAAAATATGTAAATAATTAAATTAATCATAGATATAATTTTAAAAGTTAACAAAAAAAAAAACCCAATAAAATGGCTTTTTTTTTTTACAAATTTTAAACCATGAAATATAAAGATAAAGCCGTATGATACGGGTATCTGCTCGTATTTTTAAATATAAATGTTAAATGAAAATGTAATACAAAAATATAACATTTTCGACCCACACCGTATAATTATAACGCTATAACTATATGATATTTCCATTCACCACCCCCAACATATAATGTTTCTAGCAAAACCACGCCGCCCCTTTATAATTTATATATATAATTTTATATTAGATTTTCGTTTTTTACAGATAGCACGATTGGATAGTTTTTTAAGTATTATTTTGTAAATATTATGACGCCCAGTACCATACATAAACTTGAATTCACTCTGGTTGGGGCGTGCCCCCGGGTAATCATTTGGCACAGGCTTATGTTCAACTCGTACAGTAACATTGATCAGGATGAGTAGCGTTGCTTTTTGGCGCAAACTTGAATTCGTTGTTTCTTTCATATACTTTTGAGGTGGCATTTAATCTTTCAGTCGCAAAGCGCAAACTTAGCCATAGTAGGCCTAATAATCAAATACATCTCTAAGCGCGCACCAACGGGACATGAACTAAATTCATTACATTTGTGTCGCCATTGAGTGTATATAAGATTTTGCCCTAAGATTCTATTCTTCTCGTTCTTTAATCTTTACAGTCCCCAGTAGCCTACCCTCGGATATTTTAGGGGCTTAAAGATGTGGTATGGACAGTGTGGACCTTCCACCGGACACTTTCTTAATTATCATCTTTCGGTGCAAGGTTAGGGTGGGGGGGGGGGCGGTCGAACGGATAAAACCGAAAAGTTGTAAGAGGGCCTCGAAATGTCAGCTTGACCTTCTTACTTTTTTATAATACTAAATAGTAATGTGGCTTTTATTATTTTTATTTAAACTATTTTGGAGGTTAACTACTTAATTAATAAAAGTATTTAATAATAATAATAATAATCAATTAATTAATTTTAAAAACAAATGCTTTTTATGATGCTTTGTCGGATTTAAGATATTGGTGGCCATGGGCACAGCCAACTTAGGAGTCCATAGCTGTTGATACGATAGGGTACTGGACACAGCCAAGGTAGGAGTCCATTGCTATCGATGCGACAGGGCGCTGCGATGGGGGCCACCACACCACGGCGCCATCTTCAAGGGGGGGGGGGGGGTGTCGTAATTTTTCATGAATAATAATATTAAGTGTATTAATATATAGCCTACTTTTTTTTTTTAAAGAATTGCTATCGATGCGACAGGGCGCTGCGATGGGGGCCACCACACCACGGCGCCATCTTCAAGGGGGGGGGGGTGGTGTCGTAATTTTTCATGAATAATAATATTAAGTGTATTAATATATAGCCTACTTTTTTTTTTTAAAGAGGGCTCTTAAATTCAGACTTCAGGCAAGTAGTAAGGAGTTACCTGGTACTGTAACTGTAGGAATGAAAAAGCCTTATTAAACTAATTAGCGAATTAAAATGGAAATAAGAAAAACGCCAAGAAGACAATGGATATCTATATATTTTATTTAAATCTCAAACATCCCGGTAATTAGAACATAGATATCGAGCAGGCTCTAGTTAACCACGCCCATCACATCTAATAAATTAAATACTATCAAGAATTATGGGGCTAGTGTTAATGCTCACGTAACCTATTGACAGACCTATGGTCACTAGCACCATGGCCCAGCAAGAGTTAAACCTATGGACAGACCTATGGTCACTAGCACCATGGCTCAGCAAGAGTTAAACATGGAGAGAATATGGCATGCGGTTGAGTATTCAAGTTATAAGCAACTGCTCTTATACAGTGCTACTAATAAAGATAAAGTCTTCTTATAAAGAACAATTATATACTATTATTATATTTATAGTGCTATTGAAAATCACTGGTCAGCAGAAAATTTGACGAGATTGAACATTAACAAGTATGAATAAATTTAGAGATACTTAGATGTGGACACGACACGTGGATAATTCCCGTTGAAAAGTCTAAATAGACTCACTGACTTTGGCTACTAACTTGTAGGAAAACCCATTTTAAAATAGTTAAAAGCTTGTTAATGAACCAATGATCAAAATAAAATATAGAATCTACCGTACTTGACATAATAATTTAAGATATTCGACAAGCTAAATAAATAATTGTGGTAAAGAATATAAAATGGCTATGCGTCTGAAGGCACTAATCTCTATGTGAGATACCGGTACTAGATCAGCATTCCCCAAATGGTGGTCACCGGGCTGACACCGGTCCACGAGCCTTACTTTGCCGGTCAGCACATCAGGAATATTTATGGTCAAATAAAAAGAAATTATAATTAATAAATCACTGCCACCGGTCCCAGGTGCACATTCAAAACTTTTCCACCATACTTAAAAGTTTGGGAAACGAGGTACTAAGAGGACAGGGTAGATTTCTTGGGCTTATAAGGGTTATTGCACATTTTGCTACCGGTATTATGAAGCTATTGGCAAAGGGTATGTGCTGCCATCTAGATTCTTGCTTGCTGTTCAGAAATATTATGCCTTAACTTCTGGTACATTAGCCAACTTGTACATTAGCCCACTGGCACATTAGCCAATGGGTATTAGCTACATACGCCTACTGGTGCATTATCCTACTGGTACATTAGCCAATGGGGACATTAGCTACATAAGCCTACTGGTGCATTATCCTAATTGTACATTTGCCAACTGGTACATTAGCCAAATGGTACAGTAGGCAAGTGGTACATTAGCAAACGGTAAATTAGCTTACTGGTACATTCGCTGCATTAGCCTAGTGGTATATTATGCTACTACTACATTAGCCTACAGGTACTTAGCCAAATGGTACATTAGCCAACGGGTACTTAGCCCGAATGGTACATTAGCCCAGGCCTGCACAACTCAAAATGTAAGGCAGGCCGTCATACTTTATGAAAAACTTGTGCAGGCGGAAAGAAAATAGGACAAGGGGAAAGCTATTAAGAAAATAATAATAATAAAGAATATTTCATTACCTCGAGGACCGCAAAGTGGGCACTGGCGGGCAGCATGGGCCACATGTTGTGCAGGCCTGCATTAGCCAACTGGTACTTAGCCAAATGGTACATTAGCCAACTGGTATACACCTTCCTACATTTTGTTATTTTCAACTGAAGTTATCTAGCAAAAGATTCATTTACTCCTTATTTTAATGTCTTTACAGTATTCTCCTGAAAATCAACCATATGCCATTTTAACAAATTTTAAGTTATAATCAATATTATTAAATACTGTAAAAGTCTAATAAACATTTAGACTTCTACAGTCTTCAAAAAAAAAAACAACAACAAAACATTTTATTCTAATAAAACCCAGTGGTACAATTTAAATTAGCTGAAAAACACCAGCAGCTGAACAGGGCTAATCATCATTACAAAAAAAAAAAAAGATATTGTCCTATGTTTGGCTCATTTATTTAATTGACACATTCATGTTCTAGTATGTGTCCAAGAAGACTTTTCAATGAACTGTTTAATAAATTACATCTCTTTATTAATAGTTTGTACCAAAACAAATAATAGTAGAACATTTTTAAATAACATTTTATTCACTCACAAACTATCTGAAACCCTTTATTGATTAGAATATCTGTATAAGAAAAATAAATAGAAAAGGAATAAAATATCCACACAGTTTCACAGCAAAGACACTTTGAGTAAAAATATTTCTTTTCGTTAAGTAACACAGAAAATACATTATTAAATTTTTTAAATGGGTGTGAACATTTTCATATAATAAAATTAAATAGAAATATAATTAGAAAAATCAAAAAAAAGAAAAAAATTTACCTATACAATGCATGCCACTAATATATTAATATAACAGAAACATTAATGTAATTAATTTTACTGTGAAATACATTTTAGAAAATGTTTGAACTCAAAGAGCTCCGACAGTATGCCATTAGATATCCCATTGGTCATTCATGTATAACAGAAAGAAAAAACATCAGGCCACCCTCTGTGTAAATCAATTTAGTAAGAAATTTAGCCAATAGAAAACACATGAGGCATGAGATGCTTTGTTTTAGAGTCAATAAAAAAATTTGAGCAAATAAAATTGACTACCAATACCACAGATTGAATTGTACTTGTAGACCTTATGATGTACCCAGTAGTTAAATGACATTCATCAAGCTGCAACTCTGTACTAAACAGTGACATGAAATACCTTCTACCAAACATCTGCACACATTTCAATTCTAATTGTGACTATTTAATATTTGCGAAGATTCAAGAAATAAACATTCTTAATCTATTTGATAATTTGAGACAAATCTCTACAAAAACCAAAAAAAAACATTTTCAAAAAGTTTGAATGCAAATATTTTGTAAAGAGCTTGACCACATGTTGAGTGTTTAATGTCAACACTGTAGGCGAATGAGTTTGTGTGTGCAGCAGTTAAATAATATTTTATAATATATTTATTACAATAGGTCGCAACATTTCAAATGTTAAAAAAAAAACTAAGGAACATTTTTTCGCCCCTTTCAAACGGTCAGATTACATAATTTGATGTTGATAGATAAAAGAAACTAATCAAAGAATTTGGGATAACTTTAATAGATGTAAGATAGTAATCAAAGAATTAGGGATAACTTTAATAGATGTAAGATAGTAATCAAAGAATTAGGGATAACTTTAATAGATGTAAGATAGTAATCAAAGAATTAGGGAGGGATAACTTT